CCCCCCCCCCCCCCCACACACACACCCCACACACCTACCAGAATGGTGAACTTGCCACTGAGCAGCTCCGAGCGCAGCGGCTCCTCGTGAGGCTTCAGCTTCACAATGCCCTCCTTCAGCCGTGTCTCCTGTGCACAGGGAGCTGGTGGGATGGCCAGCACGGGCACCCCAGCCCTCCACCCACCATCATGTCCCCGAGGGGCGTCACAGAACAGAATCATAAAAACGTTTTGGTTGGAAAAGACCTTGAAGATCATCAAGTCCAACCATTAACCCAACTCTGCCAAGCCCACTGCTAACACACATCCCTAAGAACTGGATCTACATGGCTTTTAAAGCCAAGCAGGGAAGGGGACTCCACCACTTCCCTGGGCAGCCAGTGCCAAGTGCTTGACAACCCTTTTAGTGAAGAAACTTCTCCTAATATCCAGACTGAACCTCCCTTGGTACAACCTGAGGCTGTTTCCCCTCCTCCAAACGCTTGTTACTTGTGAGAAGAGACCTGCCCTTCCCTCTTCACGACCTCCTTTCAGGTGCTTGTTCAGACCAATAAGGTCTCCCCTCCTTCTCTCCTAAACAGCCTAAACAGCCCCAGCTCCCTCAGCTCCTCATCATCATCCCTTTCATCAGCTTCATGTCCATATGGGGCCCCAGCCCTCCAAGGGAAGCCCCAGTGGGGAAACCTCTGCTCCACAGCCCCATTTCCCAGCAGGGGGTTCCAGGCCAGGTATATATGCATTTCTAGACAGGGAGATGCTCTGCAGACACCCCAGGGCAGCCAGGAGGGCACACACACTGCTCTCAGCAAAGAGGCTGGGGGGGGATTGGGGTCAGTGAGATCTCCATGGTGACTCGTCTGGGCTGAAAAAAGGATTTTCCAGCTGGATAAAAACCCATGAGGGAGGTGGTGGGGGAGGAAAAACCCAACCAAACCAGCAAGGGGAGGGTCTTCCCTGGGACCAGAGATCTCTCCCAGAGGGATGGGGGAGGGACCTGGCCCCACTCACTTACCCGGTAGGAGTGGAAGAGCTCAATGGCCCGTAGGACATCGAACTTACGGGCCATGAGGAACTTGACAGCCACGTTCCAGGAGAGCGGGGACACATTGTACTGCCCCGTCCACTTGTTGATCTCCTCCAGGAACTGCTTGGTTGCCTGCGGGAGAGACAAGGGGTGTGCAGTGAGATGGGGAGGAGGGGGAGCTCCACAGTGCTCAGCGCACGGGCAGGGCAGGTCTCAGCAAACCCAGCGGCTCCTCGGGGTGAAGCTCCACAGCAGTCCTGAGAAAGGACACTACAGGACATGGCCCAGTTCACCCAGTGAGGCCAGTTTCACCGGGCTGCAGAGGACCAGGCAAGAAGGGCTCAGTCCAGGAGCATCCCAGGATGCTTCCACTGCTTCCCAGAGTTCCGGAACATGCTGGGCACACCCCACCTGAGAGCACTCCCCTCCCAAAGCACCAGCACCACACGCACCCAAAACCATGAGAAACCAAGGAGGAAACTTTTTCAACTCTAGTGCTGCTGGAAAAGAGTCACGAAAGCCAACCTGCCAGCTCCCAGCAGGCTTAAAGCCCTGAAGGTGAGCAAATAAACCCCCAAAATGTTCTATTTTGACAAACTGTGTGGGCTCGGGGGCTTCTGAATGCCTGTGCTATGGGAAGCAGCTTTGCTTTCTGCTGTCCCACAGACACCTCGAGGGGCATGATCCCACCTTACACAAAGGCTGCAGGCAAGGATGGAGCAGGTCCCCAAGAAACCCCACCCAGGCACAGCCTCCAATGGGGGTTTTCCACCCTCAGGAGAGCAGAGGAGGGCGCTGAGAGCAGGAGGAGGGGGTGAGCACCCGGTTTCCAAGCAGGCAGTGGTGTGGGATGTCTCGGCGGAGCTGCAGGGAGCTCTTCAGCCAGCAGAGCTTGGAGGCCTTAATGACTTCCCAGGGAGGAAGCCAAGGGCCCGGGTTTATCGGCGGGGGGGGGGCCGG